GAAGCCAGCAGTTCGTCCGAGGGCGGTCGAGATCAGGGTCGTCCGCTTACGTTTAGATCCTATTCAAAGCACAGAAGACCGTGCCAATTTAGTGCGGACTGCACCAAACCACAAGAATGCCGTTGTGGTGGTAATTGTAAAGTTCCCGACGTACCTATCGAACCCCGTGAACAAGCAGAAGGCGCTGAGGACGAAAACCCCTCTGGCGCTGCACGAGCTCCTTTCGCCCAGATCCTCGATTCTGCACAGAAGCCTACACCCGTGAACGAAACCACCAATGAATAGCGCCGACTCCATTGGGTCCTTCTTTTTGAATCCTTACTTCCCATAACTGGCAGTCAATTATTAATGATAAATTGCATTTCAAAACATCGTGAAACTGTTTTCATGTAAAGTTTCCTTTTTTACTACCGACAAATCCTACTTCTTTTTAAAAGGACATCTATTACCCTTTCTCACTTAGCGCACATGTGGAAAAAACACGTTTTTTATTATCACTATCAACCTTCATCTTCTACTAAAATGAGCTGTCTTACGTCTTTGACTACTGCTTTTATTACCTCTGTAATAGATATAAATTTCCTGGTTTACCTTAATACTCGTAAGTAAATAGGCCAATTCTACATTCACGTGAATTTTCAGTTTCACCAACATACTTTCCGGGTGTAAATAGTGGAAGGCAGTCGGACGATTTTACAAATTAGAGTTCCGGATGTATTTATGGTTACCTCGTCGATTTAGTATTTGCTATTCCGACATTCGTAAACGAAGTCAGGTATGGACATTGTTTGGTGGGCTCCAAGTCAGTTAAAACATTTGGTTGTACGCAGAGGTCGTTGGTGTTTCTTTACGTCAAAAAAAGGCATTTGGTTTTTTAAATAATTTAGATAACATTATTAAGATATGCGATTCTTTAGCACGTGTTCTAATTAACTTGCGTGGCAAAATTCGTCATATTTTTCCTCGGCAAAGTTTAACACACGAAGATACCAATTTTTTCGCAATTGCACATTTGAACCTCGGTTAAGTCCTTCAGACCGTGAGTATTTCCGGCACATTCGGAGACCGGTTAGCTATGGAGGTTCCACTTGCGAATATGACTTTTAAAGACCGATTCAGATTCGCTTGAAGTTTGAAAATGTGCACAAATCCGATTTAAGTTTTTGATTAAGAAAATATGTTAAAATTCAGTAACCGAACTTAATAATTTGGAGGCGAAAGACAAAGGGCAAAGCTGTGTAGATCAGAAGTCAGAAAAGTCCGAGTCCCACCCACTGGTTTCAACTTGTTGAGGGAAATCGACCGCGATGTCGTATTCAAAATCAGGATCTGTTGGCCGGACTCGATTTCGTTCGAAGGTCTCCTCCATGACCAACTTCTTCCTGCAGTAAAATTGTAAAAATAAATTGGATAAGTCATCAAACTATTGTCTGCGTCCATTACGCCGGTGGGTCCAGTCTCAACTCGGAAAGAACTAAATATAACAAGAATCTCGTAGGTGCAGGCTTTCTTGCCACTTGCACTTGATAAGGCTGATCAAGCCGGCCTCAATGATGTCACGGACGATGCCCCCCCCACCACCCGTGACAATTAGCCGCAACTAATATGGTAAGCTCCTCCTATTATTTTATCCAGCGATGGAAACCGACATCGAGGGTCCAAGAACCGCTTCCATACCTAGACGAACGGTATCCAGCCAGGTTTTGATTTGCCCTCTTCTTGGACGCCTCCAGGTGGGATACTACGCATAGCAAAGCTTGTGAGGCAGACGACGAAAAAACGTACCCAAGCCACCTTAATCGTCTTTCTTGGATGTTCTGAGATATCCTCGCGATACGGTCTCAGTGTGTGCGGACTCTTTCATTTGAGGTGAAGTCGGTATACTTTATTCGAAGAAGGGTTTTGAGGCAGCGGTTGTCAAATACCTCTAGTCTTCGCTCATTTTCCCGTGCAGAGCTTCACATTCGCAGCCATGGAAGTGGACTGACCGTACACGAACCTTTATAGGATGGCGCGGAATTCGTCCTGCTTCTGCTGCGTCCTAGAGCCACGCACATACTGAAATCGCCTCAGAAGAGCAATAACGAAGATCTGTAACGGTTTCTGCCGTCCGACGCCCTCTATC